TTAATCTCAGTCACATGTATATGCACTCCATGGGGAAGTGGACCAGAATTCTTCCTGAGTAAGCCATGCGTGTCGTAAGAGGCGACTACAATGCTGGGAGCAAGGGACTAGTAACCCCTTCTCCCGTATAAATTACTAAATTTAAAAAGAGAAACTTTCGTTTTTCTTTTCGGGCCACCCTGCCTCGGTGGGATACGGCAGGTTTATTGAAAAAGAAAAAAAATGTATATGCAATATTTGTTTCAGATGGAGAATAAAGGTGTGATAAATTGACACGATGGACACACACACACGCTGTGTGATGCAATCTTTTATTGATCAAACCCACTGTTAAAGTTAAGATTTGTCAATAAATAAGAGAATTATATTGCATTTGTCTCGCTTTTTCCGACTTTGTTTCAAATATTGAGTATCAACCATGAATCTCACTGTGACTCATTAGAATCAACAATAACAACAACAATAATAATAATAATATTTATTTCTATAAGTACATGATACAACTTATACAGACCTAGCTGACATCAGTGACATTACATACTATATAAAAAGCCCCTGGTTATGCAGAGAATTTCATGCAAATTAGGTTAATTTTGTCTCCAGGATGCAACCCACACCAGTTGGCTAATACCCAGGTACCTATTTACTGCTAGGTGAACAGGAACAGATGTCTTAGGAAAACACGCCCGTTACGTTTCCACACATACCGGGTATCAAACCACGGACCTCAATTTATGAGCTGAGTGCACTACCAGCTAAGCTGATAAGGCTGAATTGGAAATGTTACAACCAACTTTCCACAACAAGTATAGTTTTGGCTTATGATTTATTATTATTATTTTATTCACAGAAAGTGCTAAACTGAGCTTGTGGCTAAAAAATTAATTAGCATAACTCAGAGTAGCTTAGCTCAATCTGATGATTTTGACAACACTGTCACTGTCAGGCTGACAGTGAGGGTGAAACTGATCTTTGGTGTCATCAAAATCATCAGGTTGAGCTCAGTTATTCTGCTGTTATAACTCCAGTGACAGAACTGGAACATTATCTAAATCCACAAGTTACCATGCAAAGAAGTACGTTTATATTAATTCAAGGCTCGTATATTTAACAAATGCCCAGTACAGTACAGTATACAGAACCATAATCCAATGGGTGATTTAATAATGAAATGTTAATAAACTTGTATGAGTAATCCTATTACCATTATACAACATGTGATTTATTTTTTTAAATTGCTGCATCTTTAGGATTGGTTTTACTAAGGTAGCTGCCAATAAAATATATCAACATTATTCAGGATTGACATGCATCACACAGCAGTCACAAGACACCAGTAATCAATGTGACTAATATTGAAGATATATTCTGAGATTTAAAAAGCAGCACACAATTACTGTCAAATTATCTTCGAGCTGCTGTAAACTCTACAGTCGTCGTTCAGAGTAACTAGATAAATTGTGTATCTTATTTTCTAACCAAATAAATTAGCACAGTTAGCAAATAACTTTTTCCTTCATTCATTTTTTTTTTTTTTCAACAAGTCGGCCATCTCCCACCGAGGCAGGGTGACCCAAAAAAGAAAGAAAATCCCCAAAAAGAAAATACTTTCATCATCATTCAACACTTTCACCACACTCACACATTATCACTGTTTTTGCAGAGGTGCTCAGGATATAACAGTTTAAAAGCATATACGTATAAAGATACACAACATATCCCTCCAAACTGCCAATATCCCAAACCCCTCCTTTAAAGTGCAGGCATTGTACTTCCCATTTCCAGGACTCAAGTCCGACTATATGGCTTAAATTTTACCACACACACAAAAAGGACATGCATATTTGTTCTATGGCACTGCCTAACGAGTGTAATTATACATTGTACGTGTTTCTTCAATAAACCCCCACTAATAATAATTTTTAGAGAAAGTGCTTAACTCAGGAAGGGTCATAAGGCACAGCAGAGAACACCTGAGAAAAGAGTAGCATAAATAGGATACAAAGAGTAATTAAGGGGCAAGGCAAGAAAGGATTAGAATGCAGAAATTTAGGACAACTAAATTAACAGTTGCCTCCAGCAAAAGAAAAAATATAGACCACATCCTCTCTTTCAGAGAGGATGTGGTCTATATTTATCCTCTCTTTCAGAGAGGATGACTGGCAACAAGACTAGCAAAGGTAAGAAGCAGAAAATAAATAAGTTGCACTAATAAACAGAGGACTGAACCAACTATCAGGACCTGCTGTAAAGTTGCAATGATTCAGCAAGACTTAGCCTGGTGCCAATCCAAAAGACAACCATAGGCTAATAAAGTTGAGAGAAAAAAGAGAAGCCTAGGTGTAATTTCTCAGAAATTAGCTTGTTGAATGTCAAAGTGAATCACTGATATTGGCAGCAATCACTCAAAAACTGGATGAACCCCTCACCTAAAACATGTAATTATTTAACCAATAAATGTTCACCAATACACCACTGTCATTAAAGTGTGGGGTAAACTAATAGCTAATAGTTTTATGGATAGGTTACAAATGATCTTTATTCTGTCTTATCCAAAATTAATTGCATACTATGGTGTCCACAATTATACTTGTACCGTATTTGTACATCAGTTAACATCTGTTATCTCACAAAATTTACCTTAGGAAGCATTTAAACCAGGCTAACACAATTCATTACTGAAATGTGACTTAATAGAAAAATTGCAACAGTCCACTTGGTTTAGTAAGAATTGACATGTAAAATTTACATGGAATTTTTGTCAAGGTGTAGAGAGAATTTGGATGCAATCCCACTACCTTTACAGAGGATAAATAAATTTACTAGTGGTTTAAGATAGATAAAAGTCAAAAATTACAGTTCTTTAAGTTTAGAAAATGCATTAGCAGAAAAATTGAAAACTATGTTCCATTTCATTGAAAGAGAAAGTTGAAGTGTGAGAAGTTAGCATTATTTTGAGAATGAAACATATAATTTCAGATCTTAGCCCAATATATAATTTGAATCAATTACATTGTAAACTGGAGATTCAAGACAGGCATAAGAAACATGAATAATCATCAGAACAAAAGTCAATACCAAGGTTGAAACAATTCACAAGTAACCCACACTTTCAAGAGAAAACTACAGATGATGTTTTGGTCTATCTTGCACTACTGTAAGTTAACAATAGCTGAAACTTGACTGCATACTATGGGTTAGAATGTTTCAGAACTAAAAAAAGTACATTAGGAAGACTTTGGTATCATAGCCAAAGTCATCAGTCTAAGGCTGCTGTTACTACATTACCATCTGCATAATTTGGTATGAATTTTCATTAATTCCATTTGACTAAAGCATCAGTCCTCAAAATTTCAAGTGAGATAAAGCCACAAAGTAAATGAGCAATGGCTGAATTACTGGGAAACTTAAGGAAGACATGGGAATTATTTCTTTATTATAAATTTACAAAAATATTAGCAAAAGGATATAGCAGTTGCTAGAGAGAATATAACAGATGCTGATTAAACTAAGTTTTTCCAAAATGAAATAAATAACCTTCCAAAACTTTGAATTCACCTGAGGCACAATCAAATTCTCTTTAATCATTAGAATCCATGGCAATTTTTTTTTAAGAAAGCTTCAATGTGGTATACAGTTTTATAGCTGACATGAACATTTTCAAGCTGAAACTTGAAAAAGCCCACCATTCAGCAGAACCTTATCTAATAAAGGCTTACTCTGCAATTAAGTCTCCCCACTTGATGCCATTTTGCATTCTGATGAATGAAAATGCCATAACACTGCATGATGTGTCTATAAGAACCTGTTCCCAGGGTTCTACTCTCACAGCCTGCTCAACCAACTGCTGATGCTAGTGACCTGCAGACCTACAAAGTAATTACCACCTAGCTGATCTGGCCCTATAAATGCTGAGCAAGCCTTTATGAGATAAAATCTGCTGCCACTGTTTGTATAACATACAATTTATATTACAAGTCTAAAAAGGGTATTTTAGAAAAATAACTAGAAAGTTCTAATATAATGCAAAATTATTTGTCAAATTTTAATTGCAAAAATTGAAAATCTCTCATCATCAGTATATGAATTAAATTACTAAAGGATGGAAACAAAAACCTTTAAATGACAAAATGACTGAATTAGTGTATCAGTTATTAGGCAATAAAAGGTAATAAAATTATATATAACAGATATAGATCTATTTGACTACCAAGTTACATGACATCAGTATCAAAAGTGCCATATATGATGTACAAAATATTAAAGGCCCAGAGTCACTCCAAAGCAAAGTGCACTAGCCAAGTACTGTACAATATGTATGTACATAGTCATGTAACTTTTGAAGCCACCATACTGCAGGGGTAATGACCCCAGGTACTGACTATGGGTAGACATCATTATCATAAGTGTAGTTAATAATGAAGACACTTAGAACATAAAAGCAATTGAAGAATAACTTACATGGATTCATTTAACCCTTAAACGGTCCAAACGTATATATACGTTCACGCGCGTAGCGCCCCAAACGTATATATACGTTTTCTTTGTCATTCACTCAACATTGCCACAATAAACCTGAGTCACCTAGACATGAGAGAATGGGTGTGTGCACTCACTGTGTTCCATATTAAAATAATTGGGGATGCCTGGGTACCATATGCTCTATTTTCCTTTTAAAAGAAAAGATTTTTTTTCCTCAAAAAATTTGGGGCACTACGCAAGTGAACGTACATATACGTTTGGACCGTTTAAGGGTTAAATTAATGAGCACTTCTTTGAGAAAATTATTTATAAAAATAGAAATTTATAACCTGTAAAGAAATAATATAGATAGTAGAAAATCCCAGCATGAGAAATAATGTGCAACATCTGGATATCTTTATTGTAGATGTTTCGCCATCCAGTGGCTTTATCAATACAGATTCTAGGACATAATTAGAAGACAGTAGAACTATATACAGAAGATGAGGTAATCAGGCTGAGGGACTGATTACCTCATCTTCTGTATATAGTTCTACTGTCTTCTAATTATGTCCTAGAATCTGTATTGATAAAGCTATTGATAAAGCCACTGGATGGCGAAACATCTACAATAAAGATATCCAGATGTAGCACACGTGTCTTAACTTTCACAATGTCGGTATTTTATACCTTTCTTGCACATGAGAAATAATGCAATAAGAGTCTTTTATCAATGTGCATTGAAATGTGAAAGAGAGCTTTAGTGATTCTCAATGGTATACAAATTTCACTCACTCACTCCAAGCTTTTATGTAGAGTACTTGTAGTTTCTTATATAAATCCCAAATCAAAATTACACATTTTATACCAGGTGTTATCCCTCATGTCTTGGCATTTATTTTACTCCCATAACAAGACTGTGTCTTCATTTTCTGAACCATTTTAATTTTTATGTATAAACAGTTATTATTGTCAACTCATGAATGCACAGTGAAACAAAAATAAATTGTGGAATACTGTACCATACTAAATTGGACTAGGTGAATGTGTAAGTTCTGGAAATGGATTCTCTGGGAGTGTGCTTTGAACACAATTGAATACACAAAATGTATATACATGTATATAAAAAAAAAAAAGTCTTGTTAATTGAAAAATAGTTAGAAAATGCCTTTGTAGTTTAAACTGTTCAGAGATAGAATAAAGTAAAGCAGGAAACAGACAAGAGGCATGTAATAAGTACAGAGAACTGGATAAAATATGAAGCCTTCGGAATACAACTGCCACCCTAATTAAAAGTAAATAATCAAGCAAGATAAATACACAAAATTAAATTAATGTTTATGAGAACAATGATCAGATAAAGAAACTACAATAATTTTTGTTTTGTTTACAATTCATCAAGCTTTTTTAATTTATTACCAATACAAGACACTAGATTACTTACCGGTACATATTTGACCAAAGAAAATATCATCTGCTCTATCTCTCTCTTAAAGTCAGCAAAACTTATTTTAACACCTTTATTTACAATCTTATTCTTCTTCTTCTTCTTCTTGGAGCTCACATTATTACAACTAGTTATCTTTAAATCATCAAAGACTATATTTTCAACACAATTGTTGTCCTGAGTCTGGTATGGTGACACTTCTGTAAAACCATTACATGCTCCAGCCTGCACCTCACAAACACCAACAGTCTCTGTTGAGAGGACAGAATTTTCTCTTTTTCCATTTGCAACAGTTACCTCCTCAGTGTTTACTGCTTGAAACCCATTATGTAGTTCAAGATCACTATGAAGATTCAAACTGTTTTCTTCATTTTCTTGTGACTCATCTCCAGTTTCACTTGAATGAAGTTTCTCCTTACCATTTACTACATGATTTTCTTTATCCACTATGTCCTTAGAATCATCATTTTGGAGCAGAGATCCCTCAGCAGCAATGAGATTGGACTGTTTCTCCTCACAAGGATCTGTTTGCTTAACATTCTTCTTTGATATTTTCAACTTTCTACAAGTAATCATCTCCTCCACTGCGGCACAAAGGCGTGCTAAGAAAAGAGCTGGTAAGTCAGGGTTACACTGAAACAAGGACACCACACGACACCACCATCGGAATATGCTGCAGATGGACTGGAATCTTTTATCACAAGCAAGTGGCTGCAGCAGCTCTTCAACATATACCTAAAGAAAGATAAATTATTAATATTTTGGGGGTATACCACTGCAATTTACATTTTACATCTAAGAGAAATAATAAAACTATGCACAAATTCTATTAAGGAACTGGAAATTAGAACTATATAGTTTCATTCAAAGAAAAAAAAAAAAAGCTTCCATTAAATATAATTCCCTCTGTGGTCCTGGTTGTACACCATCCTGGTGCCAGGCTGATGAACGATGAAACAGGAAGAGGTATCACCTGCTACTTTCCCCAAGTACTGCTTCCAGGGCAAAGGTGGCCAGAATAATCAAGCACATACTCCTTTACATACTACAATTATTTTTTTTTATCCCTGGATGTTTCCCACCAAGGTAGAGTGACTAAAAGAAGGAAATATAAACATCAATCATCCAATAGCTGTCTTGAATGATGTACACAGACATTGCAATTCAAATGAACTTCCAAACTGCAACATCCCAACCCCTCCTGTGTAAGCACTATACATCTTACCTCTAGACCCCTTCTGTGTGCGCACTATACTTCCTATGATGATTGGTTTTAAAAACCGACAAGTTGAAGAATTGAGACACTTATGCAACACATGGGAATCTTTATTGAAGAAACGTTTCACCACACAGTGGCTTCATCAGTCCAATACAAAGTAGAAATGGGTAAGGAGAGGAGGAGTTTGAGGTAATCAGTCCCTCAACCTGGAATCGATGTGTTCAGTCCATCACTCTTGTAGGAAGTGATGACTGAACACATTGATTCCAGGTTGAGGGACTGATTACCTCAAACTCCTCCTCTCCTTACCCATTTCTACTTTGTATTGAACTGATGAAACCACTGTGTGGCAAAACGTTTCTTCAATAAAGATTCCCATGTGTTGCATAAGTGTCTCAATTCTTCAACTATACGTACTTCCTACCTCTAGACCCCTCCTGTGTAGGCACTATACATCCTACCCCTAGACCCCTCCTGTGTAGGCACTATACATCCTACCCCTAGACCCCTCCTATGTAGGCACTATACATCCTACCTCTAAACCCCTTCTGTGTAGGCACTATACTTCCTACCTCTAGACCCCTCTTGTGTAGGCACTATATATCCTACCCTTAGACCCCTCCTGTGTAGGCACTATACATCCTACCTCTAGACCCCTTCTGTGTAGGCACTATACATCCTACCTCTAGACCCTTTCTGTGTAGACACCATACATCCTACCTCTAGACCTTCTGTGTAAGCACTATACATGATACTTCTAGACCCCTCCTGTGTAGGCACTATACATCCTACCTCTAGACCCCTTCTGTGTAGGCACTATACATCCTACCTCTAGACCCCTCCTGTGTAGGCACTATACATGGTACTTCTAGACCCCTCCTGTGTAGGCACTATACATGATACTTTTAGACTCCTCCTGTGTAGGCACTATACTTCCTACATCTAGACCCCTCCTGTGCAGGCACTATACTGCCTACCCCTAGAACTACAGTTTAGCCGACCATTTTCCTTGAATCCCTTCATAAATATTGCTTTGTTCAAACTACAACAATACATCTAAGTACAAAAACCACTTGTCTCCACTCACTATCATTTAACTTGGTCACATATGCTTGTTAGATACTCAGAGAACAAAAAGGCACAATACCGTGACTGGAACAATACACAAATAACCTACGCATAGGAGAGAGGAGCTTACAACATCGTTTTGGTCCTAATCTAATCAGCTCCATTATTTCTAAATGACTGAGCTTCTCAATAACTCCTTTTATGCACTATATCATAACTCTCATACCCCCACATTATCTAATTCCTACATTCCTTATTCCCTGCGCAATACTGACACCAGTCAGTATTCTCATACATGACATCTCCACTGCCTCTAGCCTCCTCCCCTTGCTGCAACATAAACCATACCTTCCCTTGCTGCAACATAAACCATACCTTCCCTTGCTGCAACATAAACCATACCTTCCCTTGCTGCAACATAAACCATACCTTCCCTTGCTGCAACATAAACCATACCTTCCCTTGCTGCAACATAAACCATACCTTCCCTTGCTGCAACATAAACCATACCTTCCCTTGCTGCAACATAAACCATACCTTCCCTTGCTGCAACATAAACCATACCACTACACCCAAGGTTGCCTCCATTGTTAAGTTTTTTTCTTTTTAAGATGCCTCTACACCCTGGCTACCTTTATTCCCTCATCTAATCTATAATTATTCTATAATCAAGGTGTTTTGTTCCACTTTTGTCTCCTGTGACTTTTCTTATTTGTTTACATAATCAAAAACAATACTATAAATATTAAGGCCAAAATACTCATATACTGTGGTACTAATAATAAGAAATGCTGTAAAAGCTGCAGCAAGGAGGAGGCTGGAGGCAGTGGAGATGTCATGCCTAAGGTCATTGTGTAGTGTAAATATTATGCAGAGAATTCAGTGTGGAAATTAGGAGGTGTGGAGTAACAAAGTATTATTCAGAGGGCTGAAGTGGTTTGGTCATTTAGAGAGGAAGGAACAAAGTAGAATGACTCGGAGAGCGTATAAATCTGTAGTGGATAGGAAGGTGGGGTAGAGGTTGTCCTAGAAAAGGTTGGAGGGAAGGGTTAAAGAAGGTTTTGTGTGTGAGGGGCCTGGACTTTCATGTTAGATAGGAGTGAATGGAGACAAATTATTTTTGGGACCTGATAAGTTGTTGGAGTGTGAGCAGGGTAATATTTTGTGAAGGGATTCAGGGAAACCAGTTAGGCAGAACTGAGTCCTGGAGGTGGAAGTACAATGCCTGCACTTTAAAGGAGGGGTTTGGGATATTGGCAGTTTGGAGGGATATGTTGTGTATCTTTATGTGTATGCTTCTAGACTGTTGTATTCTGAGCACCTCTGCAAAAACAGTGATAATGTGCGAGTGTGGTGAAAGTGTTGAATGATGATGAAAGTATTTTCTTTTTGGGGATTTTCTTTCTTTTTTGGGTCACCCTGCCTCGGTGGGAGACGGCCGACTTGTTGAAAAAAAAAAAAAAAAAAAAAAAAAAATAATAATAATAATAATAATGTTTATAGAGGGGCAACTGATATATTGGATCATTATTTAGTTGTAGCTACAGTTAGAGTAAGAGGTAGATGGGAAAAGAGGAAGGTGGCAACAACAAGTAAGAGGGAGGTGAAAGTGTATAAACTAAGAGAGGAGGAAGTTCGGGTGAGATATAAGCAACTATTGGCAGAAAGATGGGCTAGTGCAAAGATGAGTAGTGGGGGGGTTGAAGAGGGTTGGAATAGTTTTAAAAATGCAGTATTAGAATGTGGGGCAGAAGTTTGTGGTTATAGGAGGGTGGGGGCAGGAGGAAAGAGGAGTGATTGGTGGAATGATGAAGTAAAGGGTGTGATAAAAGAGAAAAAGGTAGCTTACGAGAGGTTTTTACAAAGCAGAAGTGTTATAAGAAGAGCAGAGTATATGGAGAGTAAAAGAAAGGTGAAGAGAGTGGTGAGAGAGTGCAAAAGGAGAGCAGATGAAAGAGTGGGAGAGGCACTGTCAAGAAATTTTAATGAAAATAAGAAAAAATTTTGGAGTGAGTTAAACAAGTTAAGAAAGCCTAGGGAAAGTATGGATTTGTCAGTTAAAAACAGAGTAGGGGAGTTAGTAGATGGCGAGAAAATTTTGAGGAACTTTTAAATGTTGAGGAAGAAAGGGAGGCGGTAATTTCATGCACTGGCCAGAGAGGTATACCATCTTTTAGGAGTGAAGAAGAGCAGAATGTAAGTGTGGTGGAGGTATGTGAGGCATTACGTAGAATGAAAGGGGTAAAGCAGCTGGAACTGATGGGATCATGACAGAAATGTTAAAAGCAGGGGGGGATATAGTGTTGGAGTGGTTGGTACTTTTGTTTAATAAATGTATGAAAGAGGGAAAGGTACCTAGGGATTGGCGGAGAGCATGTATAGTCCCTTTATATAAAGGGAAAGGGGACAAAAGAGATTGTAAAAATTATAGAGGAATAAGTTTACTGAGTATACCAGGAAAAGTATACGGAAGGGTTATAATTGAAAGAATTAGAGGTAAGACAGAATGTAGGATTGCGGATGAGCAGGGAGGCTTCAGAGTGGGTAGGGGATGTGTAGATCAAGTGTTTACATTGAAGCATATATGTGAATAGTATTTAGATAAAGGTAGGGAAGTTTTTATTGCATTTATGGATTTAGAAAAGGCATATGATAGAGTGGATAGAGGAGCAATGTGGCAGATGTTGCAAGTATATGGAATAGGTGGTAAGTTACTAAATGCTGTAAAGAGCTTTTATGAGGATAGTGAGGCTCAGGTTAGGGTGTGTAGAAGAGAGGGAGAATACTTCCCGGTAAAAGTAGGTCTTAGACAGGGATGTGTAATGTCACCATGGTTGTTTAATATATTTATAGATGGGGTTGTAAAAGAAGTAAATGCTAGGGTGTTCGGGAGAGGGGTGGGATTAAATTATGGGGAATCAAATTCAAAATGGGAACTGACACAGTTACTTTTTGCTGATGATACTGTGCTTATGGGAGATTCTAAAGAAAAATTGCAAAGGTTAGTGGATGAGTTGAGAATGTGTGTAAAGGTAGAAAGTTGAAAGTGAACATAGAAAAGAGTAAGGTCATGAGGGTATCAAATGAATTAGATAAAGAAAAATTGGATATCAAATTGGGGAGGAGGAGTATGGAAGAATTGAATGTTTTCAGATACTTGGGAGTTGACGTGTTGGCGGATGGGTTTATGAAGGATGAGGTTAATCATATAATTGATGAGGGAAAAAAGGTGAGTGGTGTGTTGAGGTATATGTGGAGTCAAAAAACGTTATCTATGGAGGCAAAGAAGGGAATGTATGAAAGTATAGTAGTACCAACACTCTTATATGGATGTGAAGCTTGGGTGGTAAATGCAGCAGCGAGGAGACGGTTGGAGGCAGTGGAGATGTCCTGTCTAAGGGCAATGTGTGGTGTAAATATTATGCAGAAAATTCGGAGTGTGGAAATTAGGAGGTGTGGAGTTAATAAAAGCATTAGTCAGAGGGCAGAAGAGGGGTTGTTGAGGTGGTTTGGTCATTTAGAGAGAATGGATCAAAGTAGAATGACATGGAAAGCATATAAATTTATAGGGGAAGGAAGGAGGGGTAGGGGTCGTCCTCGAAAGGGTTGGAAAGAGGGGGTAAAGGAGGTTTTGTGGGCAAGGGGCTTGGACTTCCAGCAAGCGTGCATGAGCGTGTTAGATAGGAATGAATGGAGACGAATGATACTTGGGACCTGACGATCTGTTGGAGTGTGAGCAGGGTAATATTTAGTGAGGGGATTCAGGGAAACCGGTTATTTTCATATAGTCGGACTTGAGTCCTGGAAATGGGGAGCACAATGCCTGCACTTTAAAGGAGGGGTTTGGGATATTGGCAGTTTGGAGGGATATGTTGTGTATCTTTATACGTATATGCTTCTAAACTGTTGTATTCTGAGCACCTATGCAAAAGCAGTGATAATGTGTGAGTGTGGTGAAAGTGTTGAATGGTGATGAAAGTATTTTCTTTTCGGGGATTCTCTTTCTTTTTTGGGTCACCCTGCCTCGGTGGGAGACGGCCGACTTGTTGAAAAAAAAAAAAAAAAAAATATAATAATAATGCAAATACTAATAATAGTAATTTTTTTTAACACACCGGTCATCTCCCACCGAGGTAGAGTGACTTGAAAAAGAACCATTTTCACCATCACTCACTTATCACAGTCTTCCCAGAAGCACACTTGTGTTACAGCTTAGATGCCCTTCCAAACTGTAATATCTTCACCCCCTCCTTCAGAGTGCAGGCACTGTACATCCCACCTCCATGACTCAAGTCCAGCTAACTGGTTTTCCTGAATCCCCTCATGTTACCTAGCTCAAAATCCAACAGCACATCAAGTCATAAAACCCACATGCCTCCACTCACTCCTATCTAACATGTTCATACATACATGCTGAATGTCCAAGCCCCTGGCATACAAAAACTTCCCTGATCCCCTCCATCCAATCTTTCCTAGGATGACCCTTACCCAGCCTTCCCTCCACTACAGACTATTATTACAATAATAATAATAATAATAATAATAATATGGGATTTTGTTATTCATGATTGAGTGTTGTATACAGGAAAATGCAAGTAATTTACCATTGCAGCTGGAGCAAAACATCTGAAGCAGTGTTGTATGGAGACAGGAGCACCCTGGAAGACAGCACAAGTCTCCAGGTCATCATCCACCACAGAACCCAGTGTCAACTGTGTGCATGCCAGATACAACACCTTCTGGAACACTTGCAATGTGGGATATGCCTACCACAAGTTCAAGAAAAAAATGAAAATATTATTATTCAAGAAAAAAAATGAAATTATTTTATTAAAGGCAACATTCTCTGGAACAGTGTGAAATATGCCTACAACAAGTTCAAAAAATATATTAAAAACAACATTAGTTTCTTAAGGCCTCTATGACCAATGTTCCTCATTAAAATATTTCGGTTACATCATGTAATTAACTTAATATCATATCCTAAAGTAACAAAAGAAAACTGCTTAATACAAACATTTCAAGGCAAGTACATTGTTATTATGATGCTCTAATGAAAATTTATCAACATGTGTGGGGAAGGAGAGTTAGTCAGCAAAAATGTAGCTAACATAAAATTTATAATTTCAATAAACATAAAAAATATATATTACACTTCTTCTCTCGTCTTCTTTCAACAAACCGGCTGTATCCCACCTAGGTAGGGTAGTCCAAAAAGAAAAACAAAAGTTTCTCTTTCAACTTTAGTAATGTATACAAGAGAAGGGGTTACTAGCACTTGTTCCCAGCATTTTAGCTGCCTCTTACGGCACATATGGCTTATGGAGGAAGAATTCTGTTCCATTTCCCCGTGGAGAATATATTATACTGTATACAGTATATCTTAGTACTTCACATATTCATAAAGCTGTGTTTAATCAAGATGTAAATGTTGGATCCGGTGGATCTATCTCATACTAGGTGGAAAGATGTAACTAATGCTCCAAAGCCACTTTGTATCTGTTCCCAATATGCATAGTACCAAGATGCCCCAGTAACTTACATTGTCCTCAATATAGTTGATAACGACATGATACAAACACTAAAAATCAGTGAGCAATGAAGGGGACTGACTATCCTACAAGGTGCTGGAGGACTGGAAGCTAGTAGAACACACACACTCAGTTGACAGCAGTGTAGGGGATCAAGAACCTTACTGTGCACCTGACTGATATAGCTGATAGCAGAGGGAGGGATTAGGAACTATACTCTGTACCTGACTGTACTTGACATGAGTGAAGGGGATTATAAAGCATACTGTGAACTTGACAGACATGGGTTCATGGGTTAAATGACCCAATTATCATTATTATATTTATGATGAAACATTAAACCCATAGGAGTCATGCAACTGGGGAATGGTAGGCAATAGGTTTGATCAAAGGAAGGGGAGTATAGCTCCAATTTCTTGGATCAAGAGCCCTTCACCAACAACAAGGCATCCCCCTCAAAGAGATTTATGACCACAGTTAGGGTTCTTCCACAATGTAGTTAGAAGAATGGTTCTCTCTGAACACTGATCTAATCACAAGTTTAAATTATTATTTACTAGAAGGGATAGCAGCTTCAAGTGTGGGAAATCAGTTGAGGCCAATTTTTTTTTTTTTTTTAGAAAAATTCAATAATTGTTTTAATTTTTTTAAAATTTGTTTTAGAGCCACATTCCTTTAATACTGCTCTTTCCTCATTAACCCCTTGACTGTTGCAACCCCAAATCCTGAGGTGTCTCCTGTTGTCGCAAAATTTCCAAAAATAAAAATAAATTATTTTTTCTTATGAAATGATAGAGAATCTTTTCTTGATTGTAATGACACCAAAAGAACGGAATTTGATGGAAAACTGACAGAATTATGCTCCTGCGAAGTTAGCGACATCGGTGATATTTACGAATCGGCGATTTCGCCCACTTTGAGCCCTATTTTCGGCTAATTCCATTGTTCCAGTCGACCAAACTCATAGCTATTTCTTTAGAACTCCATTTTTTCTATCGACTGAGTAAAAGAAACTACCCATTTACTGATTTCAACTACCCAATAACGTGGTCAGAAATTTGCAATTTGGCCAATTTCACGAAAATTAAAAAATATGACAATTTCAAAATAGGGTCCAGAATGAACAATGCAGACATTCCTGACTCTAAAATAACATTTTTCTTTGTTCACGTCTCCAGGCCCCTCTGATATTACTCTTGCTTTGTATTTTGAATTTTTATTCAAACAAAAAATAGAAGATTTACTGTTATGCAGACTACTGCAATATTGTAATAATTGTATAAATAATGTCAACCCATTCATGACTGCATATTAGAATGGCTACTTGGACATTTATTAGAAAATGACATCATTTGTTTACTTTTGAACATCAGTAAAAATCAAACATTTTCCCTATTTTGAGCTCCATTTCAAGGTTCTTTTTGTGGTAAAACCAATCAAAATCACCTCTATTTCTATAATATGTTTTCCATTCTATCAAATGACACCAAGAAAACGAGAATACAACTATAAATACTATACGAAAGTAGACCACAAATTCGGCATTTTAATAAAAAAAAAGAAAAGAAAAAAGGTTGAATATTTTTTTTCTCATTATGCACTGCGTGCTGCAGGATTTCTTTATATGGTGCACACTGACCACACAGACCCATTCTCTCACATGTGGGCCTACCAGCTTTCTCCTGCTTGATTTGAAGCCGCTAGAATTTATGAGTATATATACGTCAAAAACGGTGGCTTGTAAGACATATATATACGACCAAAGCAGTCAAAGGGTTAATATTGCCATTCATAAGAAAGCAAAGATAAATTTGGGTGTAGGAACACCTCTGGGAATATGTTTATTAAAATTCTATGCCTGATTTTTAATTTAGGGAGTGTCATGCCAAAATCAAATGGGCACTTAAAATAAATAAAAGTATTTGACCAATTAGTATAAGAAATGAGCACCAAACAATCATATAAAGAAATATATCTAGGGGAAAAATAGGAAAAAATGCATGAAACATGAAATAAATTTGGTTTTCTGTCACGTCTGCTGCACTTCATACAACACTTGAATTCTATGATAAGAACATAAGAAAGAAGGAACACTGCAATAGGCCTGTTGGTCCATACTGGGCAAGTCCTTCACAAATTCAACCCACCAACAGAATATCTGCCCAACCCAAAAAATATTTGCCTAACCCACAACTCACAAATTACAAAAACTGTAAATGGGATATCCCTATCAAAAAAAACAGATGCAAATATTTGCTTATTTTGAAGAATTACTGAATACTCTTAACTGGGATTTTTTAAAGGCACTCCCACCAAACAGTCTGGATAAAATTAGAACTTTTAATAAAACAAATTAGTAAGTTTTAAAGATAGTCTGTAGAACATTTGGAGAAAAAGACAAAATTTTTTAGATTAAAATTTAATTAACACATTTGTAGGCAACTTTTTACCTCTCCAACATTACTGTTCATGCAGGTATTCCACTTAACATAATTAGGTATAAGGTGCCATTAACAGCCTGAACTGCTACATGCAGATCATATTTGTTTAGGGCAGAACCCGACTGACAATATGTGATCCAACAATTATGAAAATGGAAAAAATCTGAGAGACAATCTCTTAGATTTCTTCTATGTGTGAGCAGCATTTCATTTTTTAAAGAATTTCACATCAGCAAGACTTGAGTCCTGAAGGTTGGAAGATCAGAGTCTGCACTCTGAGGGAGGTGAGGATGTTGCAGTAGGAGGGTAATCTGACTGATGTCAGCACACTTCTGGAAAGAGTGAGTGAATGACAGTGAATGTATTTTCTAGTTTGAGGTCACCCTGCCTGGCAGGAGATGGCTGTAGATTTTTTTTTTTTAAGTATCTGTATAACTTAACTGCAGTCTGATTTATATTATCGCTTGTGTCATGTCAGCAAAAATATATACAGTGGACCCTCAACCAGCGATATTAATCCGTTCCTGAGAGCTCATCGTTAATCGAAATAATCGTTAGTCAAGTTAATTTTCCCCATAAGAAATAATGGAAATCAAACTAACCCGTGCAAGACACCCCAAAGTATTGAAAAAAAAAATTTTTACCACATGAAATATTAATTTTAATACACACAAACTGAAGAAGACATGCACAGTTACATAACACTTACCTTTATTGAAGATCTGGTGATGAGTGATGGGATGGGAGGAGGGGAGACCATTGATCTTCTTAGTGTTTAGAAGGGGAATCCCCTTCCATTAGCACTTGAGGTAGCAAGTCTTTTTCTGGGGTTACTTCCCTTGTTCTTTTAATTCCACTAGGACCAGCTTCAGAGTCACTGGACTTCTGTCGCTCAACATATCTGTCCATAGATATCAGTACCTCTCGTTCCTTTATGACTTTCCTAAAGTGGTTCACAACATTGTCAGTGTACAGGTTGCCAACACGGCTTGCAGTAGCTGTGTCAGGGTGATTTTCATCAAAAAAGGTTTGCACTTCAAGCCACTTTGCACACATTTCCTTAATCTTAGAAGTAGGCAACTTCTTCAATTTCTCTATCCCCTCCTCTGAAGCAGTTTCCTCAGGTCTGCCCTCTTGCTGTTCAAGATGATCTAGCAGCTCATCAGTGATTAGTTCTTCATTGTCCTCCTCCACCAGCTCTTCCACATCCTCCCCACTAACCTCCAACCCCAAGGACTTCCCCAATGCCACAATGGATTCCTCAACTGGCATAGGATTCTCAGGGTTAGCCTCAAACCCTTCACAATCCCTTTTGTCTACACATTCTGGCCACAGTTTTTTCAAAGCAGAGTTCAAGGTCCTCTTAGTCACTTCCTCCCAAGCCTTACCTATAATGTTTACACAATCGAGGATGGTAAAATGATCTTTCCAAAACTCTAGTCAGTTGAGTTTCTGAGGTCACTACAAAGCACCTTTCAAACAAAGTTTTTGTGTACAGTTTCTTGAAGTTGGAAATGACCTGCTGGTCCATGGGCTGCAGGAGAGGAGTGGTATTAGGAGGCAAAAACTTCACCTTAATGAAGCTCATGTCCCTAGAAAGTCGCTCTGCCAAGTCTGAAGGATGACCAGGAGCATTGTCTAATACCAGGAGGCACTTAAGGTCTAATTTCTTTTCAAATAGGTAATTTTTCACATTGGGGGCAAATGCATGGTGTAACCAGTCATAGAAAAAGTCCCTAGTGACCCATGCCTTACTGTTTGCCCTCCACAGCACACACAAATTAGCCTTGACGA